ACGAATATTGTTTTAAAAAGTGACTAATAGGCTGCCTTTTTCTAGTTGAAATATTGCCTGACATTTTTTTTTATCATTTTTCAAGATACGTTGCGATATACGAGCTTTCATTTTTTTAATTTTTTAAAAAAATTTACAAAAATCTTGAAGTATTCTGAATCTCCAAATCTAAATCTCTATGAAGATGATATTATTCTAAGAAGGATAATACAAAGAGAATGATACAAACTTGTGATTTTTCAAATCTGTTGAATAGCATAATTAAGGAAAGGGTAACGATGTTCTTCTTCTAGAAGAACGTGACGATTCTTTCGATGATACGGTGTTTAACTTTCCTTTTCGAGAGCGGATCCTCGAATAAACTTGGAAATATCGTTTCGCGCGATACCATTGAAATATTTAACGATATCATTCACGACGAAATTTCACGGAACGCACGGAAAAGTGTCCACGACGTCGTTTTTAATTCACGACCCTTAAGATAAAGAGCTTCCGTATCCCTTCCCTCCTCCTCTCTTTCAATTTATTCCTCAGTAGCTTCAGTTATTCATGGCCGGAAGAAGCTTAAATTATAATTAGAACACGGAAGATCTGGACTTTCTTCACATTCTTAATAACGTTCTCCATAATGCATGTGGATCGCATGTGTGTCACGTGCGAGTCGAGTCGAAACATAAAAGATTCACCGAAACGACCGCCACTTTCTTTTTGAGCTTCCTCTTTCTTTATTTTTGTCCTCCTGCCTCCGTTCACGACCAACGTCTAAGAATTTCCATAGGGAGGGGAGAGAAGGTGGAACGTAAAAAGGTGGAAAGTGGAACGAATAACGTATCTCGGATTTTTTAAGATTAACATTGAAACAGTGGCGGAAGAAAGTTCGAGGTTGTGGAAGGGATTGTTCGTGAAATCGTTCGTAAATTTTACAATCTTTTGCTCGCGCATTTACATCTTCACGAAATTTCGTATGAAATCGTACATCAAATCGCATTTTGAAATTCAGATCCGACATCGCGCTGTGTTTCGTTCGATGGACAAAAATTCAAGATATTTAGAAGAAGGGACAAAATAAGAGTGCATTATTGCATTATACTCGAAACGAAGAATATCGAAGAATGGACAATTAATCAATTTAGAAATTATAATTTTTGTTTTCGTACGCGGAGAGAACATCTCGTTCTCTGAAATTAGTTATCCCGTTCGGATGCCGCATTTTCGTTTCGCCATAGTTGATTTCATTAATCATTTCAATTAGAATTAATGGTGGAATTAAGCCAGCTTTGTTCCGTCAACCAGAACCTAAAGTTCAGAAACTATCAGTTATTTCATTTGTATAATTGAACACGTGCGCGCGAATGGACAAATGGAGCCGAGTGCTAGCTAACGAACGTGCAGAACTGTGAAAGGATTCAGAAATGGAAAAAAAATGTAAAAAGATGGAAAGGTGGAAAGGGATTTAAAAGAAAAAAAAAAAAAGACCGTTTATTTAAACTATTTCTGAAATAAGTGGTATGAAATATTTCTTTAATTTTTAATTATACGTGCAAGAATTCGTTCAATTACGATGAGAGATGGAACTGTAACTTTACACGTAAATATATGAATAATAATATTAACGTAACGTACATTTGTATGCTCAGCCTTTCTAAATGTTAAAAGCTCTCTCTTTCTCTCTCTCTCTCTCTCTCATTCATTCCAAAATACAATTCAGAAAATTATACGAATAGAAATAATTATTACTTTTGGAATAAATTGTTCTTTCGAATATATATACATTTGCCTATGATTCATACATTAAATGAAAAAAAGATTATATATGAAAGATCGAATATTATTTGCGCGTACGGCAATATTTCAAATTTTCTAAAAGTTTATTTTAACTTGTTTCAAATTTTCCTCAACTCCGCTTCAAACAAAGTGGGTGCACAATCTCGGCATACATTTCAATTGCGTGACCCCAGCGCCCACAATCAAAGCATTCGCGCCAAACTTTCGTTCCCACGCATATTTAAACAACGTTCAACTTGGAATTAAAACAGTGCCGTGAAAAAAAAAAAAGGAAAAAAAAAAAGAAAAAAAAAAGAAAGACCAAACCAACTTCTCTATGTTCCTTCGAAATCAATTATTCGAAAAGCATTTCTTCAACTATAAAATCAACCTTAACTCGTAACGAACTTCTCGATGAACTTTTGCGAGATTGGAGGTCGTACGCCTCCGTCGTATCGATTCATCGAGATTGAAAGAAAGAGAAAAAAAAAAAAAAAAAAAGAAAGAAAGAAAGAAAGAAGAAGAAGAAGAAGAGAAAAAGAAAAAACAGAAAAGAAAGAGAGGAGGGGAGTGAAAAAGTGAAAAAAACCAAGTCCAATCCTGACTCAGACGTTTCCACCAGCCAGTATCGAACATGGAACGTAGATATTGAAAGGGGTACAGGTGGGACAGGGGGCTTGATGGAAGAGAAAGAAGACGGATAGACAGACAGACAGACGGACGGACAGACGGCCGTGCGCTTTCACCCTCGCCGCAGAAACAAGAGGCACAGCCAAGGTATTCCAGTAATTTCAGTCGTAGGAATATTCATGAGCAGCCACGGCCGAGTGTACTGTTCCGCTTCTATTCACCGTTGCAGATGGGCCAACCAGGGTCAGAAAGCTTGCTTTACGAAGCAGGAAATCCATGCAGATGAGAACGAGTAAAAGGAGAGTGGTCGGGGGAAAGGGGTAAGGGATCGGTGGCGTTAGAATGTGGCTGAAAGGAGGAAAGGGACGGATTCGTCGTGGGTAACCGGCCGGCATCCACGCTTCAATTAGCCAAAGTGCAGCAACAAAACTGCTGCTACGACATCGCGTACCAGCTGGCCCCGGTGTCTCGTCCTTCGTCGATCGTTTCGATAAGATACAGTGAATGGAAATGGAAAACCGAGTCGGGTTAAATCGAAAGATTTGCTCTTTTAGGGAGTTATTGGTCTCGACTGGTAGAATCGAGAACCGGAGAGTTTGTTAACGAGTTTTGGCAAACGTACGAATCCTATAAGCAAGATTTTTCGTTTTCCAAGACAATGCTGTTCAATTTCTTTCGAGTTGCCGCTTTCTTTTGCAATAATTAAATATGCTCGAGAGTGACACGTGAAGCGACGAAGATTTTAAATATTAACGCGATTTTATTACCATGGAATTAATTGAATAAGAAGATCGTAAATATAATATTTTTACGAAATATAAATGATAAAAGCGACCAGTTAAAAATCACTTTAAGACTCTGTTGTGGATAATTCGATCAGAATCACTAAATTAAGAATAGATAATTAATTGATTGATCTCTTGCAATAGGAATGATGTGAAATTTAAAATTGTAATAATGCATAGCATTCTCGAAATAAAATCATTATTTTTTTAAAATATTTTCTCTATCTTAGAAACTTTACCTCCGATTTTTTTGTCTTTAATAACGAAACGCTACAGATCGACGTTGGATCATTATCTTTTAATCGTGATCAAATCGATTCAAGATATCTGAATATATTTGCAAACATTGGTACACGTTTCAGGTCGTTGCCTCGAGCGACGAGGATATTTTGACGAGATCTAACTGGGGAAACTGTCCCAGAATCACGATCGCCTTGAAGCTTTGAAATCGAGAAACCATTCTATCCATCCGTTCTCACTTCTCTATTCGTCTATTTATCCCTTTCTCTATACCTACCTATCTCTGTTGATGTAACGAGTCGTTGCAGGTTGCTGTGTCATATTGTCACACTAGTAAAGTCTAGTTTCGATGGCTAAAAATGCGTGTGTTTGCACTCCAGGGATTGGCGAGACTCGTGGAAACGAGTAAATCAAAAGCGTCGCGAGCGTTACCGCGAATCGACGCGAAAAAAACCGATGTTTCGATGCGATCCGGCTCGTAAACGTGAAAAAACGGCTATAAATAATAATAGGAAAAAAAATGAAGTTACGAAGACCACGATGGTCGTTTAGAGTTTTACCTGCAACGAGCATCGGGACGTCTCATCAAAATGGACAAAGAATAGCGAATGGAATCGTAAGGGTTGGTTTAATTTCATTCATTCGCAAGTGTCGCTCGATGAACGTGTAACGTAAAAATCGAGAATCGTCGTTAAACGGAAGAGCGGATATTTTTAAATAAATAATAATAATATAAATTTTTATATTGAAATTAAAAGTCGTCGTTCAATCAAGTTTTGACAATTGTTCGATTCCACGCGGAAAAATTCGTGGACACGCTCGATATAGATTGCTCTCGCGATGAGGGCGTTTACCGCGATAAATTACTGCAATAACGGTGATTACCGCGGTTTATAAACGTATCAACCTTTTCATTGTTTGCAATTGTGACACGATTGCCAAACGGAATAAATTGACCAGCGAAATTCGAAATACGCGATGCCATGACCGAATCCCATACGGACCACTTTGAACACTCGTTTTAATGATTATCCAGTAACCAAAATATCGATTCCCCGACAATTTCTCTCGCATACGTTAACGTTATGGCGCGATTAGCTTTCGGAATAAATCGAGGTTAGAAAGTCGAGAATTATTTATACTCAGAATTATATATATTCGGATATATTTACGCGTTATATACGCATAATTTCGTTATTGCGACGTTTCAACGTGGCCACCATTTCATTCGATCACCTTAATGAACTTCCACTTAAGATAGAAACACGATGGCAACATAATTTAGCAAGAATTACGGAAGATTACGTCGTTTAGCTACATGCTGAGATATTTTCGCAGTTAACAAGACACAAAGCTCTGCTGTGCAAACGCTATAGGTAAAGAGGGAGGAAGAAAGATACAGAGAGATATAAGGATATAATACGAGAGAGAGAGGGAGAGAAAGAAAGAGAGAGAGAGATGAGGGAAGGGGTTGGGTTACGCTATCGGAACCGAAGGGTGGATTTATGACCGACAAAAGAACCGCGTATACGCCACTATGACCGGAGGGTTAACAGAATTGTTTGCGAATTTTTGTTCCAGGTCGACCCATGATTCATCCACCTAATCAAACAGTGACAGCGAAGGAGGGTGAATCGTTGAATATTGTCGTTGAATTTTGCGCCGAGCCGAGACACACCAAGATACTTTGGATATCCGAGGAAAACGTTTATGTGCCTGGTGCAGAGGCCAGGGATGGTGTTCAAGCGCTTGCTATTGAGGTATGCTTTTTTTTTTATTCTTCCTTTATTTCTCGTTTTTTTTTTGTATAGTTTTTCTCAATTTTCAATTTATTCAATTTTATTTTATGCGAAAATTGAACAGGAAATTGTATTGAAAATATTTTTGAATTCTTTGGGAAAGACTCTGATTGTTTTCGCGTGTAAGTTATTTTTTTAATAAATTTCCAATTTCCGTTCACGAAGCTTTCTCTATTCACAAGCGTATTTTTAACTCTCGTATAACTCTTGCCTAACGTTCAATTTCTATTTAAATTCCTTTGAAAAATTCTTCTCTAGTTTTTAATTTTTATTCAAAAATTCTTTCTTTCACACACATGTATTTTTCCTTTTATGTTCGCTCCTCAATTGTTACGCGTTTCGATTTAACCTCCTTCTTTCCATCTTTTTAATTCTTGTTTGCTAATCCTTTTAATTCGATATTGAACATTGCCCAGTAAACTTTGTTAATAAATCTAATAAAAAATAATAAATCTGACAAACGCAAAAACAAACGAAGAACGCTTCTTCAAATCAAACATCCAATACAATCCTCGCTCGAAACGTACGCTTCGAGAAGATAAAAACAGGAGAAAAGATTCATCTCGACCAGAAATGACTCGTTTTACGCGAAAGGAAGGATTCGCAATTCGAGAATTCAAGAATTTTCGTAATATCGAAGATAGTGCTGGTTTTGAACCGGGTCAACGAAGGGATATCCACTGCAATTTAACTTTGAAGACGCTCGGGCTACGATAGCCAGCCAATTTCTATTTTCCAACAACAACAACAACAACAACAACAGTAACGACAAGAATAACAACGAATTTGCAACTCGGGAGGCGAGAATTATACTTTTATCGCGAGCGAACTGGCCGAAACGTGATTTCTTCTCGGCAGGATAGATAGAAAGAAGACAGAGCGAAGAGAAGGAAAAGAGCACGAAAGAATACGCAAGGAACGTTCGTTGCATATTGTAAAAATATGAGAACGAGAAGAAATGGGACGAAATACCTATCCTTATTTCATTTTCGCGTAGCGTCGAGTTGTATCAACGTGTTCTCTTCTTCTTTGTATTACTCGTTTCCTATTTTTTTTTTTTATTTTTCTATTTTATTCGCGGTCGACAGACTGATTCCAGATACTGGATGGTCGCACAAAAGACGGATTTACTGTTTTTCTGGGGAATCAGGAATAACGGTGAAACGCATGGAACTGAGAACAGAGACAAAGAGAGAGAAGAAAAGAAGAGAGAAAATAGGGAGACAAAAATGGAGAAGAGAGGAAAGAATCCTGGTATGGCTTTAAAGAGATTCGAGACTAATGCACCTGCGTTACGCTCTTGTTTCTGCTAACTTTTAATCCCTTTTGTTCCTGGTGGGAATGTTCTTAATTCGTGAAACGAGAAAAAAGAAAGAATAAGTAAATAAAGAAAGAAGAAAACGATTGTCTTTTGTTAATTTTCGTCGTCGATCTTTAAATTTCCTCTAGTCCTTTTCATTGTTTCCTTTATCGGGGAAATTACGGATTTCATCGCGGTGGATCATTCATTAAGAAAGATAGTGAGACGGGGGAGGAAAGAGAAAGAGAAAGTAATTTTCCTTTAAAGCGTTTAAACTTGGCCACCGTTTTGCTTGTTCCTATATTATTCCGTTTCCGAGCTTGAAACATGCACGACGAAATCTTCGCTCGAACAATCATCCCATGGTAAACAGGAATATCCTCTTGAAAAACAGATGACGATTTGAAAATTGAAAACTTATAAAAATTGAATTATCTCTGAAATGATGAACTCTACACCCGTTCTCTGTTCATTATCGATTCGTAATTTTATCGAATCATTATATAAACTCAAGAATTCTCATGTTCGATCGCCAATTTCATAGAATGATTTAATCTAATCGAGAAAATCAATTTATCATCAAAAATTTCATTAACTTATTTCATTGACGATTTATTCAAGAACACGAGATCCAAGAGATACGAAATTTCTTCGTTTCTTCAAGCGTGATTACATAGCATACCCGATCTAGGGAAGCTTATTAATTTTTGGTTGGACGGAAGTTTGCGGAATATTTGGTAGACGGTATCGACATAGTACGAGGCATTCAAAACAGAATCTGGGTCAAAATAACTACGTTCGCCGCAACACGTGCACCCGGTCTGGATTTCGTCCTACTCCACCCCCACAGTCCAATCCCCTCCGCAACCCTCGTTCGAGGAGCTGCAATTCCACGAATTAATTACCCGCTACTTCAGCCCCAGATAACAAAGGATATAGAGTACGGGACAGAATACAGAGATAGATGGATAGATAGAGATAGGAATAAATCACTGATACTAACTACTATCAGTCATGCTTTCGACGAATACCATGGAAATTTCCCTTTAAGTTGGCGGGCGAAAGTTTCGCCGAAATTTATGGATCGACGCCTCTCGACGAGCACACGCTACGATGCAGAGAAGACGAAATCTCGATGTGTTTGCACATACTCGACAATCGGAGGAACAAAGAGGAAAACTCTAGAAGACGTTGACTAACAATAAGGGAAGAAGCAATGGTGATGCGACACCATTCCCTGTTTGCTGTTCGTCAGACAAGAGGGAGAGAAGATTTTCGACGATGGAGTGGAGCAAAAGGATTGCTCTTTGCTCTTTTCATTTAAGCATATAAAAATATTTGCAGCAAAAACTAGTAGGAAAAATAAAAATGTCGAACGATAATCGAACGAGTGAAGTGAAATTTGACGAATCACTTGTATTAATAAATATTTTGCATTTGTTCAATGTATATTTGAGTGTAGAATTAGAAATCTCGAGATTCTCTCAAGATTCAACGCGAAACACTTCGAGATCTAATTTATTTATTTCTATCTAATTTATCACCGGGCGAATGCAAATTTGACAAAAGAGGGGAACGTAAATCACGCGAAACAAGGAAGTACACGTGGACTCGTCGAGAAAGAAAAAGAAGGAGGAAGTTAACGATGAAGGCGACAAGGGAAGGGGAAGACGAGGAGAAGGTCGGCTCGTAGTGGAAACCGAGAAGGGATGAGGATGAAATACGAAGTTAAATGGAGCAAGAAACTGCGACTGGTTGCACGCGAAAAATTCGCGAGACTAAGAATAACGTCTGTCTCGAATTGCGGGAAAAGTTACCACCGAGACGAGTGGAATCGGATTCAATTACGTAAACGTATTTCCCTCTTGGTCGTATTTACCAAACGAAGGGGATGGAAACTGATAAAAGGGACATCGGATGTAATTATATCTTTTTTGTATTTCGACCGATTCCACGCGTAACTCCCCCGATTTAATTTTATTTTCCAAGTTTAAAATTAATTCGAGTATATCTATCGTCTTTTCCATAATGCATAAATTATTCCTCCCTTTGAATAACAACAAAGATTTTTCCTTTCTACTTTGTCCGATCGGCGACCTATTTCTCGTTAATTAAACGCGTGCAAAGATAATCAGAGTAATTAACAGTGGATGAATAATACAAAAAAAGGCGTTTAACACGCGCGTCAGTTGCATCAGTGTAATACGTAATAATGGAGCTCGTAATAACACGTTGTCGTTGAATCCAACGAAACACGTTTCTTTTTTTTTCTTTTTTTTTTTTTTTTTTTCCACCACACTGCAATTGACTTTCTCGGATATTATCTCCTTCCTACGTATCTCGTGTTTTTATCAATTATTTCGCATCGATAATTTTCAATTGTGCTGGATTTAATGTATCCGATTTTATCGATTGGAATATAAAAAAAACCCGAAGAATTGGAAAAAGAGAGATTGTTTCTCGAGAAGGGGAAATGTAACTTTGAGAGAAGAAGGAAAAAGAGGGGGAAATCGGAAGTGATACGTGCAATTGAAGCGGGAGAACGCGGGGAAGGGAGAGGGTATGTAGGAAGTTTTCAGTTTGCCGCGAAAGTTCCACGCGAAAGTTTAATCGTAAGAAGCTAAGCAGAATTGCGATAGATAAGGAATAGTGAATCGACATTATCGAGTCCCCGAGTTAATGAGTTCGATAAAAACGATCGGAGAATCGAAACTGTCCTTTAAATATCTCATTCTTTCACAAAAAAAAAATCTGTTCCTATTTTAATTTATCATTCGTGTTCGATGAAATTGGTTTCGTTTTTAATTTAATCGAATAATTTTTACTTCGAATTTAAAAATTACGTTTCGATTCTCATTTATATTTTTTACATGTAAAAATATATAAATGTTTATTTCTAATATTAAATATATCCCCTATCTTCTCAAAATATAATCCCAATCGAATATTAAAAATAATCTTCTAATATAATATACACATATAAGACGTTATACAAAAATTTCTTTTCATTCTTCTCTCATCTTTCCTCGCCAAAAACATTTTCCTGGAGAAAAAAAAAAAAAAAAAAAAAGAAAAGAAGTGGAAAATTCAAACTATCCTTGACCCAATCTCCCACCGATTTTCCTCTCTAAAACTTGCGCCAACGGCAACAATCCCTTCGAACTCCTTTCCAGATAAATTATCCCTTATAATCGACCGCCTAGTGAACTCTTTGGATCGTCGAATCAGGTCACGAATACTTGACAAACTCCCCTGAATCACTGGTATTGAATTCATTAACGACGTACGGTCCCTCGTTGTTTGTCTTTCAGGATGGTGGCACGGAGTCCTGTTACAGAACGGTGCTGAGCTTCGACACGATTCAATGGTCTCATGCCGGGGAATGGTGGGTGTTGGTACGCTCGTCGGAAGGGATCTCGGACGCTTCCGTTTTGTTGAACGTGACGCGAGCCTCCGAGTACAGTCACGCTCACTTCCGGTCAGCGAGTCTCACTTACCTATCGATGTGTTTGGCCCTGGTCATCCTCCAGGAGCATCGTCGCTGAGGGACGTCGTGGTGAGACGACGTCGAAAATGTTGCTTCGTAAAGAGCCAAAGGAAGCGGATCGAACTTGAGAAGTCAGCTTCCCTGTTCAATGGATGAGAAATAAAGGGGGAAGGAAGTCAGAGTTCCGTCAGTGTTTCCGCGACGATTGTAAATATAAAATATATAAATTACAAAAAAATGGAGGGGAAGGAGGGGAGGGGGGAGGATGGGGAAAGAAAAGAAGAAGAAAAGGAACGCGAAAGGAGAAAGAGATAATAGTTTCGGTAAGAATATAAAAGAATGTTTCGTGTTCTTGACGCGAGGCGAAACTCGATGACGATGCAACGAGAAGACCCTGTTTATTATGTATCGAAAAGGGTGAACGCGCTTAAACGAGAGAAAGCCTTTTATCGACGCTGTCGTTGTCGATGAACGATGCAGAGCTTCCGGTGACGACGATAATCCGGCCTCGACGTTCCTTAATCATGAATCTCGTTGCTAGATTCTCGTTCTTTCTTTTTCTTTCTTTCTTTCTTTCTCTCTCTTTCCACTTTTCCATTGCGTATTTTTCGTTTCGATATTCTTGTCATAGGATTTTCTAGAAGATAAATGACTGGTAGGATAGATGGATCGAATCGTAACGAGGATTGTTTATCGTGGATTTATATTCCCTTTCTTTTTTCCCCTTTCTCCTCTCCTTTTTTATTATTGGAAAGAGATAAAAGAAAAAGAAAAACGAGAATTCGAATCTGCGACTACGATACAACCAATGCTTTTCTCTCTTTCCTTAAATGAGAGAAATTCAGCATGGCCGAAATGATCCGAAAGTGTCGGATGATACCGATTATCGCGTATAGAAGAAAAAAATTTTATAAATCATTACGAGATTTTTGATTGTGAAAACCGTTTCTCGTGACGATATTCTCGATTAAGCTTGATAGAAAAAAAAGAAAAGAAAAAAATGAATATTGTACGGATGTTACGCGTAACGGAGGCACGTGTAAATATTTGTATAAATAGTTTATTTGTAAGGAGACCGAATGCGGTATAGGAAAATAAAAAAAAGAGGGAAAAAAATAAGAATTTAAAAAAAACACATGTACACGCGTTGAATAAGAGACCAATTTTTACATTCGGATTCGCAGAGAACGTCGACGGCTGAATATCGAACCGAACAAGTCGAGTGGTAAACGAAGACTGTTCGTTCCCGTGTAATTGTTATAGAATATAAACACGAACCAAAGAGAATAATTCGACGAGTAACGAGACAAAAGGAAAGGAAATATGGGATTAACTAGAGGTTACGTGTACGATTAAGAAAACAAAATAACGAAATAAAATTAAAACGCAATGAAATGAAACAAAAAAATATTCCGTAAGAAAAAACTAGATACATTAAGGGAAAAACGGTACATTGTTGTATATTATTTTAGGTAAGTAGCATTATAAAAAAAAAAAGGAAAAAAAATAGCGTGTATATAGTGATTGTAAATGCATAGGCTATCGATACACCGAGGGCTATGCATGACGAATTATACAGTGACGCTGTTAGAGATATATTTATTATTCGTTGATATATTTTTATAAAGTTTTATTTAGCCATAAGTTCTCGTTCGCCTTCCCCCTGGATGTCGTGTGCCGATCGATGGTTAGTTTTCAATTGAGAGTGGCCGTGAAAAATGTGTGACGATAATAACGACGACGATGATGACGATTTTGATTCGGACGAGAATTATTCCAACGAGGATATTATATTAACGATGAATAAAAATACGAAATTTCTTCTTATCCCGAACGAATGCCCTGAATTTAAACTGTTTTTGACTTGTATTGCGACAGAAAAAAAATAAGAAAGGAAAAAATTGAGGGGAGAAAAAAAGAAAGGAAAAAAATGAACATAATCTAACATCGTTGTTCTTCGTGATTATTCGTTTTTTCATCTCTCCACGATTGCTGGAATTAGGTAAGAAATCTGAATAGTAATTTCGATCGTTTCCAGTTCCTCCGAAAGAAAACAAGAAGAAAAAGAAGGAAGAAAGAAGGAAAAAAAAATGATGTTGTTGCGTACAATTTTTGTAAGCGCAGTGGTTCCTAATTTTTGTCAACGCATGCCGACTGCGATGCGTTTAGCTTCGTTCATCCGTTCACGCCTAATCCGCACGGAAGTCGGCATTATTACATTTTATATAGAAGCGAGAACGAAAATTATCCGATGTTCAACCCAATCTCTTCATTTTCGAATTTTTTGTCCAAACGAAACATGAAAATCATCACCCTGTAGTTCATTTTTTCATTTTCTTTTTTATCCAATTGCTTAGGTGTTATAAATAAGCAACGTGATGTAATCGTTGTATCCCATGACGCCTAAAAGTCCAATAAATAATATTTACAATATATACGTGTTGATTTGATTTATTCCCATCTATATCATTAATCCTTTCCCTTTCCTCTAAATTTCCTGTTTTTAAGAATAACTTAATAACTTTAATAAAGTTTAGTAATAAATAAAGTTTAATTCAAGTAAATTTTTTTCCAATACAAAAATTATAAGAGTTTCTTTTTCTATTTGCTGGTAATATCTCTACTGGTAAAAAAATCAGTTTTTTCGGCAAAAGTTCGTGATGAGTAAACGGAAAAGGAACGTAAAGTAGACAAATTACTTTGGCAAAGAAACCAAGAGGTTTTCTTCGGCCAACACATCTATCTTTTCGATCATCACCATAGTTCTTGTCGACGAGATGTTTGAGAATCACACGATTTCAATAATTTTAAAAACTTTGTTGAATACGCAATATCGTTTAATTTTCATTTTTTTTATCTGTAAAAAAATTAAATATTTTAAAATATATTTTTAATCTTTTATATTTGTCTATACGTATGTATGAAAATATATTTAAAATCGTCAATAATAATCGTTGTCGCATAAAATTAATTGAAATTTATGAGGAAAGAAAGAAATAATATCGTAGAGTAACGAGAAAACTCGATATAAAGTTGCAATCATGCTAATAGAGAAGAAAACCTGGAAAAGAGGTGGTTGCGCAAGAAAGCGTGTATTTCTTTGCTTTAACCGACAAGGTTTCAACAGGGAAGCAGTAGAAAAGAAAGAACGTCGACTCCTCGGAAATTCGTCTGCTTCTTTCGTCTCGTAAAATAAGTCATGGCATTTGCCTCGTGAAATATCCACGAAACAGCTTTCCACCCTCGCGTATCCACGAAATATCAACTTTTTAAGGAGCAAATATAAAATAGAAACCGGAGAAGCGCAACTTCAAAAGAGAAGAATATCTAACTGTTATGTCATTCTTGGATTTGAATTAAATAATCTATAAAAAAGAAGAAACTTAATTATTAAATTTCGCCTTTTTTTAATAATTTAATCCTTATAAATATCCTATCATCCGAACTACATAATATCATCGATAAATAAAAATAACTAACTCGAAAATGAATATCCAAAAAATATAACACTTATCCTCTGGAAATGGAAAATGAATAAAAATTCCAAACAAATTATCGTCTCGAAATATATCGATATAAAAATCTGTAAAATCAGCACGTGCAAATCGAGATTTCGTATTTTCTCGAGAGATTAAAATCTCTGCCGGATAAAATTATGTTGAGGATTTTCGGTGTTGAAGCGGCACATTTCCAGCTTTAATCTTGCCGAGGCAAGTCGATCCACCTAATACATAATGGATCCCTAAGGCCTAAGGGTGAAGGTTCGTCCAATCGGATTAATGGTGTTGGCAACACTTTTCCCGGCTAAATAATGCTACCGGGATTCGATGCATGCCGGCCCTTCCGTTTCCTCCACCGGGTACACACAGATCTGTAGCATTCTCGAACCCGTACACACCATCCGGCAATATCTCGAATTGCTCGTGATCGACTATCTTGCAAGTACCTTTACTCGCTGCGAGTTGCGCCTGTACGCTGACAGGGGAATTGAATGAGGCGGAAGTTTCTAAGTAAACGGGAGAAAACAGGGAACAGAAAGGTATTTAATTCGTGTCCAACTGCTTTTGCAAATACTTCACGGTTTTACATCGATCTTAAACTTTACCATGAATTCTCTGCAAATAAATTACAAATAAATTCTTTTGCTATTAAACACAGCAGCTGTCTTGCATTATCTTACATTGTATTTTAAGAAGATTATATTTTATTCAGTCAACGAAAACAAAAAAAGGGAATCCGGGATTTGTAAATGCAACACTCAAATCGATTTGCAGCAAGTGAGTTCCTATCGGAAATAATCAATCACTCGTGAGCCAACGTTCGAAACACGATAAATTCTTCGATATTAAAAAAAGATACAATTAAAAAAGTGTGCCTTTCTCTACTTCTCGCTTTTTACTACCACTCTCTACCATCGTTCGAACAAAAAGAGCTCGTTCTCACCATCTCGTTTCTAGCTTCTTTACTCATTATTACCGGCAAACAAAGAAAAGACGATTCAACGAGTTAAGAGGGGATGAAGATCCCCGGGGATGTCTCTCCACGGGTCCGAAAAGAACTAACTACCTATTTTCGTAACAATATTAACCAACATTTATCTCAAGACTGCCGGTTCGCAGTTTCGCGGGAAAATCAAGTTCGTCCATGGCAGACAATTAACAAGGGCCTGGGATCTTGGGTGTACCTATTTCACGGGGCAGAAGTGGGGCGGACACCGAGGGGTGGGGGAGTCGAATAACGCCTACGCGGAGCCCAGTAAATTACTCTTAACTTCTCCGAGGGTAAAAATTACGGAGTTGTAAGGCCAGAAACCAAGAGGAGGGCTTAAAATTGCCCCGCGCACCCCTGGCTCTCTTCATCACAACCCCCGTGAGGAACCATAATTCTCGCCCTATCTACACCGAAACTGCTCCTTCTTGCCGACTCTCGAGACTCGTGGGAATCGCTCGTCATTTATTTATTTTCTCATCTCCCTTGGGACTTGGCCGTCAGAGAAATCCGTCGAAGATATACTTATCAGGGACGCCTGAAGCCTGACTTCCTTCGAAATCTACGAATCCGATATCCTCCAAGTCCATCCTGTCAAATGGTGTAACTTGAAACGATCTTGAAACGATTAATAAAATATATTTGGAAAATATATGGATGCTTAAAAATGATTTGGAACATTTGATAAATAGT